GGATTCCAATCCATCAAAAGCTAATCCCTATTTTATTAAAAGTGGCTCAAGAATCCTGTGGTCATGTCCTCCAAATCAGTGGTGGGTTTCAAAATTTTTTACTACCGGTTCTCTGGGTGTGGCTTGGCTTGGTGGGTGTGGCTTGGTGGGCGTGGTTTGGTGGGCGTGGCAGGGGAAGGATACTGTAAAATCTCCATTCCCTCCCCAATCCAGGGGAAGGTTACTGCAAAATCCCCATTTCCTCCCAATCAGCTGCGACTCAGGAGGCAGAGAATAGTTGGGAGCAGGGCCAGTCAGAATTTTTACTACCGGTTCTCCGAACTACTCAAAATTTCCGCTACCGGTTCTCCAGAACTGGTCAGAACCTGCTGCAACCCACCTCTGCTGCAAATGCTTTAGAATAAAAAACAATGACCAAAGACTCGGCAACGGGAGCTGAGATTGACGAGTAGGAAATTCCACTTTAAATTCAGAATGAAGCCCAGACGAAGCCTTAACAGAAAACACCGGAACCCAGAATGAATTCCTAAATAATGTTTAGTGTGCTAATTAATTATTTTTTCTTTAATTATAATAGAATAACAGAGTTTGGAAGGGATTTGGGAGGGATTTGGGAGGTCCAAACTACCAAAAAGATATGAGAAGATAAGAAATGGCTGGCAATAAAAGTTAATGCTTAATATAGCAAAATAACGGAGTTGGAAGGGACCTTGGAGGTCTTCTAGTCCAACCCTCTGCTTAAGCAGGAGACCCTATACCATGCCAGATAAATGGCTGTCCAATCTCTTCTTAAAAAACCTCCAGTGTTGGAGCACCCACAACTTCTGAATCAAGCAAATCATTCCATTGTCCCACTGTCAGGAAATTTCTCCTCAGTTCTAGGTTGCTTCTCTCCTTGATTAGTTTCCATCCATTGCTTCTTGTCCTGCCTTCAGGTGCTATGGAGAATAGGTTCACCCCTTCTTCTTTGTGGCAACCCTTCAAATGTTGGAAGATTGCTGTCATATCACCCCTAGTCCTTCTTTTAAATTAGACATACCCAATTCCTTCCATTATAAAACATAATTCCCCCAAATTGCTCAGGGCCTATTTTGTTTACTAGGGATCTGAACACCCATGAACAAAAATGACATCCTTAGAACAGTTGTGGCCAAATATTGCAGCTATACATTGTAACATGGAAAATTTGTCGGATGACAAATTTGAGACTTTTAAGGGTTAAAATCAGTGGTGGGATTCAGTAGGTTCGGGCCGGTTTGGAAGAACCGGTTGTGAAATTGCCGGCTGGCTCTGTCCCTCCCTGCCCCTTCTAGGAGTCCCCATGCATTCCGTTTTGGCTCCCAGGTAAGTGCAGGGAGGCCTACTAGGCCCAAAATGGGGCACAGGGAATGGGGGGGATGCAGCACCATCCCCTTGCAGCCCATTTTGACTCCCAGAAGGCTGCAGGGAGGCCTACTAGGCCCAAATCGGGGGGCAGGGGGACAGTGTGGCCACGATTGCCGCTACCAAACCGGCTGAATACCACCTCTGAAACCGATCAGAATAACTGAAAAAGGAAGGTACTTAAAACTTTTGCCTCTTCTGAATTCAGAGTTTCTCGTGGACTCTTATGATTAGCGTTGAAAACTGCCACGTCAGCGGTCCTGTTTAATGAGGAATTCAAATTAAAACTCATCTCATCTCTTACCTGAACACGCCCAGTGAACAAGAAAATGCCATCCCTCTGGAGGGTTGGTTCCTCTGTCTGAATTGCTTCTATTTTAGGATGGGTTTCCCTCCCCCTCTAATATTTAATCAGAATCCGCCTGTCAGGTTTCGATGCTATCTCAAAATAAATGAATTTCCAAACTGCCAATCTTTGAGGAAATTTTCTCTTTATTGAGCATAGTGATCTGTCCCTGGCTCTTTCGCGGTCAGCACTGACCTTTGGCCCCCTAAGCCCTCCCTTTCCGATCCCCGATTCTCTGCGTCTCATTGGCTATCTTCCAAGCCACTCTCCTCAGCCCATCTCCGTCAGATCACAGGAATGTTACCCCCTCTTCTCATCTCCGAGGAGACAGAATCTTCAAAGGAATTAAGTAGGCAAAAGTTCAAGCTTCTCCTCTCCTTTCATATGCCAGCGTTGGAACGCTGACATTGCCTCTCTCTAATTTAAATAAATCGCTCCACGTTCTGGACTCCAGGACAATAACAAAACAAGTCTCAATTGTCTTTGGGAGGACAGCCATTTCGATATTTTAAGATCGTCTCACATCCCTCCTCAATTTAAATATTCCCAGATCTTCCAATCCCCCCTCGTGACTCCTTGTTTCTAATTTTTGGATCCCCCTCAATGCCTTTCTCCGAATCTGCTCCAGAAGGTTCCTAATTATAGAGTTGTCTTTCCATCTTTAAACACGTACTTCAGTAATAGCGAGTGCAACTAAAGAGGGGAAAAAAATTGCATCTCGGCAGGAATAAAATCCTATTAAGACCGGCATGGGATAGTTTTATTCCTTGGAAGATATTTTGATGTGCAAATAAATCTGCAGCAATGATCAGGCAGATTAGCTTAGCTGGGGTTCGTGTGCGCCTTACACAATGGCTATTGTTTTGTGCAATTACGGAGGCTCGTGTTTTTAATCTGGCAATTTAACTTATTTTTATTAATTTGCACTTCAGCTTGGCAACAAGAGCGTTGCTTTCTCTTTGAAATGAAAAAAAAAAGGGGGGGGAAACAAGGGAAAACACAGATGGTTAATATGGATGCTCTTCTGAAGTCTATTGATACTATAGGACAGTGTTGGTGAACCTTTTTGGCACCGAGTGCCGAAACGGAAACATATCAGTGGTGGGTTGCCCCCAGTTCGCACCGATTCTATAGAACCGGTAGTAAAACCGGCGTTGAGTCTCTGCCCACCGACCCTGACGTCATCAAAACGCTTCTGTGCACGGCCCCGCTGTGAACCGGTAGTAAAGGTAAGTAGAACCCCCCCCTGGAACAGATGCGTGTGCACAGGGGACTGCTGGAAACTGGAAGAGCAGCTCCCCGGCATGCACATGTGGGAGTGCCAGAAACTGCAAAAACAGTTCTCTGACGCACATGTGCGTGACGGGAAGCTGAGCTTCCGGTTTCTGGCATGTGCATGTGCGCCGGTCACCTGGTCTTCTGGTTTCTGGTGCACATGCGCAAGTGAAAACCAGCTGACATGCCAGAAGCCAGAAGCTCAGTTTCCCGGAACATGTATGCACGCCACGGAACTGCCCTTCCGGTTTCCGGCGTTCCCCTGCATGCGAAGACCCGCTGGCTGGAACCCGGAAAAGCAACGGGTGATGGCTGACGTGCCCGGAGAGATGGCTCTGCGTGCTACTTCTGGCACGCGTGCCATAGGTTCGCCATAGCTGCGATAGGATAGATCTGTTCCTCAAGAAAACACTTTGTGGCAAATGCATTAGCATGTAAATGCTATATAATCATAACATCTGCCTCACAACCCCAACTATATTTTCTACATCAAACAAATGAATGGATACTTATTTATTGTGATGTGAACCAGTGGTGAAATCCAAATTTTTTTACTACCGGTTCTGTGGACATGGCTTGGTGGGCATGGTGTGGCTTGGTGGGCATGGCAGGGGGAGGATACTGCAAAATCTCCATTCCCACCCCGTGCCAGGGGAAGGATACTGCAAAATCTCCATTCCCGCCCCACTCTGGGACCAGCCAGAGGTGGTATTTGCCGATTCTCCAAACTACTCAAAATTTCCACTACCGGTTCTCCAGAACCTGTCAGAACCTGCTGGATTTCACCCCTGATGTGAACCCGTTGAAGTCAACAGAACCTATTTCTAGTCTGTATCTGGGTAACTGCTAGGAAACGCCCAGTCTGGAGCTAGCTTGGAGTCACTATGCAACCACAAAAGGGTGAGACTACACACCCCCTCCAAATCCTTGGAGCTTTATCTAATTGTTCCCAGGTGTAGGCTGCCAGACCGGGCAGATTCCTGTATTATAGGCTGAACATAATAAAGTAGTTATTTAACCCCTGCATGTGTGGATTGCTTATGCCCAAAAGGTACACTCTACCAGCCAATTAAAGAATATTAACAGAATATCAGGGTTGGACGGGACCTTGGAGATCTTCTAGTCCAACCCCCTGACCCTACACTACTTCAGACAAATGGTTACCCAACCTCTTCTTAAAAACTTCCAGTGTTGGAGCATTCACAACTTCTGGAGGCAGGTTGTTCCACTGATTAATTGTTCTATCTGTCAGGAAATTCCTCCTTAGTTCTAGGTTGCTTCTCTCCTTGATTAGTTTCCATCCATTGCTTCTTGTCCTGCCTTCAAGTGCTTTGGAGAATAGCTTGACTCCCTCTTCTTTGTGGCAACCCCTGAGATATTGGAAAACTGCTATCATGTCACCCCTAGTCTTTCTTTTCACTAGACTAGACATACCCAGTTCCTGCAATTTCTCTAACATATTTATTAAATGTTTATTTATGCTTATATTTGTTAAGGTAAAGGTTCCCCTTGCAGATATGTGCTAATCGTTCCTGACTCTAGGGGGCGGTGCTCATCTCCGTTTCAAAGCCGAAAAGCCACCGCTATCCGAAGACGTCTCCGTGGTCATGTGGCCGACATGACTCAATGCCAAAGGCGCACGGAACGCTGTTCCCTTCCCACCAAAGGTGGTCCCTATTTTCCTACTTGCATTTTTTACCTGCTTTCGAACTGCTAGGTTGGCAGAAGCTGGGACAAGTCACGGGAGCTCACCCCATTAGCGGCACTAGGGATTCGAACCGCTGAACTGCTGACCTTTTGATCGACAAGCTCAGCTTCTGAGCCACTGAGCCACCGCGCCCCTTTTTATATTTATTTGTTAAATAAATATAAATATATTTTCAGACTCCAACACCGATACTCTACCCTGTGCGTATTTAGTGAGAGATGAGCTTAATTTTGCTCAATGCCAAGCTTTCGATGATCTGTTAGCATTTACCTCCTCAAGTTGTCTTACCCTCATCCGTCCGTTTCTTATTGCTGGCCCGTCCTCTGCCAATCTCAAAACATAGAGGTCCATTTTGTATTCTCTCCCACCACGAATGCTGAATCCAAACCCTTTGGCTCCTTTTTCCAAGTCCACAGTAAAATAATCAAAATCCTAGGCAAACCAAAGAAGAGAAGAAAAATTAACAACGTTAAGAAATGGTAGCATTTTCTTTTTTTTTTTTTTTTTGACCAAGGTCAATACTTTCAGCGTATTTCCATGTCAACGAAGAAATACCGACACAGATTAATTGACCTCTTTATATCACAATGCTTAATTGAAATATTCACCAGGTGTTTTTTTTTTTTAATGATCGTATGGATTTCATTAAGATAATTACCAGCCTTTTGGTATGGTGGATATGTAGCTTGTATAAGATAAAATATTTAGGATTTTATTGAATGGCATGGTGGCCTAATGGTGAAGATACTTGCCTCCCACTCGGAAGGTTGAGAGTTCAATCCCAGATAGCGGCAGAGAAAATATCTGCTGTGAACTCCACTTAGGCGTCAGGAAGGGCATCCAGCTAGTAAATGTTCAGCTCCATCCAGTCGTCCTAACTCTACCCCGAATTAAGGGATTACAGCAGAGGTGGGTTTCAGCAGGTTCTGACCAGTTCTGGAGAACTGTAGTGGAAATCTTGAGTAGTTCGGAGAACTGGTAAATACCACCTCTGACTGGCCTCACCCCATCTTATTCTCTGTCTCCCAAGTCCCAGCTGATCAGGAGGAAATGGGGATTTTGCAGTAACCTTCCCCTGGATTGGGGAGGGAATGGAGATTTTATAGTATCCTTCCCCTGCCACGCCCACCAAGCCATGCCACGCCCACCAAGCCACACCCACAGAACCGGTAGCAAAATTTTTTGAAACCCACCACTGGATTACAGAGTCGTAAAAAGGGAGTTATTTATGACTTTATACACACATTATATTTTAGTTGATGCTCTATGCTTATGAAATCTGTGTCTCGTCGGAATACGTCTCAGGATAAGACTGCTGGAGTTGGTGAGCATGTCGGAATCTGGCCATCCGTGCAATTTATGTGCGGAGAATGTCTGTTTGAACAGTTCAAACAGCAACGCAAATAGACACATAAGGTACGAGCTGCTGAACCAACACTCATTTTAAATTAGATAAAAAGAGCTTGGCAAAGTCTAGAATTAGATTACCACAGACCTTTTTTGATATGAAAGAAGATATGGAACTAAAAGATGTTTGGAGAATACATAATCCAAATGAATTGGATTACACTTTTTTTTCTGATAGACATAGATCCTTTTCTAGGATTGATTTTATCTTGTTGTCAAATGATCTACTTGTTAAGACAAAAAGAACAAAGATTTTTCCAAGAACTTTGACTGATCATAGTCCTGTATGGATAGAAATCGAGATGGATAAGGTTGAGAGACGTTCTTGGAGATTAAATGAGAACTTGTTTAGATATGAAAAAAATATAATAGAACTTAAAAAGCATTTGAAAGAATTTTTTGAAATAAATTTGAATAAAGGTACCCCAGTTGAAATTGTTTGGGATGCAAGTAAAGCTTATATGAGAGGGGTACTTATCTACATGAATTCTAAACATAGACTGTTCCGACAAAAGAAAAGATCTGAGTTGGAAATGGAAATAAAGAATAAAGAACAGTTACTTATTAAAAACCCAACAGATGAAAGAATACGAAGTGCTATAAAACTTTTGAAAGACCAATTCCAAATGCTTATGGCGGAACAAGTTGCAACAAGCTTACAATACGCGAAGCATAATACATTTTGCAATGCTAATAAACCGGGCAGATGGTTGGCCTACACATTGAGGAAAAAACAAAGTATGCGGACTATTGACAGTATCGATATTGGAGGGAAAGAAATTTTTCAACAAAAATTAATTAAAGAAGCTTTGGTGGATTATTATACTAAACTATATGCTAAAGAAGAGGTGCAGAATGGACTTATAGAAAAATATTTAAAGGATAAGAGAGTTACAAAAATTACTGATCAACAAAAGGAAAGAATGAATTATCTTATAACAGAGGAGGAGATAATAGTAGCAATTAAACAGCTAAAAACAGCTAAAGCTCCTGGCACGGATGGTTTGACTGCAGTGTATTACAAAACTTTACAAGCTGAAATGGTGGGACAACTTAGAGATTTATTTTGCAATATTCAACAAGGGGGTAAAATACCCCCATCCTGGACAACTGCTTATATATCTTTGATACCAAAGGAACAAGTTGGTCCTAAAAAACCAGAGAACTACAGACCAATATCTCTTTTGAACACAGACTATAAAATTTATGCGAAGGTATTAGCCAACAGGTTGATGCCAGTAATCCAAAAGGTGATTCATGAGGACCAAGCGGGATTTATTGAGGGCAGATACATGAAGGACAATGTAAGGCAAGTAATAGACTTATTGGAATATCTTGATAAGAATAAACAGATTTCTGCAGTGCTGGTCTTTTTGGATGCGGAGAAGGCCTTTGATAGAGTGGATTGGAATTTTCTACTAAAGACTTTAAAAAAGATGGGCTTTGGGGACCAATTTACACAGGCGATCTCAGCAATTTATCAAGAGCAAAAAGCACAGATTATTATTAATGGAAGTTTGACGACAGAGTTTAAAATTGAAAAAGGAACAAGACAGGGATGTCCGTTGTCCCCACTTTTATTTATTTTAACATTGGAAGTCTTGCTAAATACAATACGGGACTCAAAAATTTTGAAAGGTATAATGATAAGGCAAGAGGATTATAGAATAAAGGCATTTGCAGATGATCTGGTGGTTACCCTATCACAACCAATGGAATCAACAATCCTGATGAATGACATTATACAAGATTATGGTAAGAGTTTCAGGTTTTAGACTGAATTCAAAAAAGACTAAAATGATAGTCAAAAATATGACACAAGATCGTAAACATGAGCTTGAAAGGAGGGCAGGTTTTGAAATTGTACCTAAGGTAAAATATCTTGGAGTTCAGGTTGCAGAATCAAATATGAAATTGTTTCAAAATAACTATGAGGTGTTGTGGCGAGAGGTTCAGAAAGACATGGAGACTTGGAAAAAGCTGCAACTGTCTTTACTTGGAAGAATAGCAGCAGTTAAGATGAACATGTTGCCAAGATTTCTGTTTTTGTTTCAAATGATTCCGGTGCTTAAAAGTGATAAACAACTGAAAGTTTGGCAAACTGGACTTAATAAGTTCGTCTGGAACGAGAAAAAGCCGAGAGTGAAATTGAAAATTATGCAAGATGTTCCAGAAAGAGGAGGCCTTAAACTTCCAAACCTACAGTTATATTATGATGCAGCAGCTTTAACTTTAACAAGTGATTGGTTTGGGGGTAAAAAGGCTGGAATATTGAATGCAGAAAGTTTTGATCTTGAATTTGGATGGCATGCTTACCTATTTTATGATGACAAAGTTGATAAAGTATTTAAAAGTCATATACTTAGAGACTCTTTGATGAGAGTTTGGAAGAAGCACCGACTCAAATGGGATTATAAAATACCGCTATGGCTGGATCTTGGTCATACCTTGTGGAATACAAATATAATGTCACTCGGGGGGTTTTTATACAAAGAGGTTCTTTTTACAGATGCGGGCAGATGGCAGTTGAAGACATTGCAGACACTGTTGGATGAAGGGATTAATTTAACCTGGTTACAATATAATCAATTACAATTGAGATGGAAAGAGGACCAAAAAACTGGTATTATGTTGCATGAGGAAGAATTGGTTAGACATATAAGAGAGAAAGGTCTAATGCATATTAAAAGGCTTTATAATGTTTTGCTAGAAAGGGATTCAGAAACGGAATTAGTTAAAGATTGCATGATTAAGTGGGCACAAAATTTTGAAGAACCAGTGATGTTGGAAACATGGGAAAAAATTTGGGTTCAGAATGTTAAATTTACACAGTCGCAGAATCTGAGGGAAAATTTTTATAAAATGTTTTATAGATGGCATTTAGATCCTAAAAAGTTGTCATGTATGTACCCTAATGTTCAGCCAAAATGTTGGAGATGTGAATGTTTGGATGCTACGTATTATCATGTTTGGTGGACCTGTAGGAAAGTTAAGGCTTTTTGGATAAAAATATGGTGGGTCATGCAGAACGTTTTGAAGAAAAAAATTCAATTTTCTCCACAATTGTTTTTATTGGGCGTAGTTAAGGGTTTTACACGGGATGAAACAAAATTAATATTGTATATGATAACAGCAGCAAGATTGTTGATAGGTAAATATTGGAAGAATGAAGCTTTGCCTACTATCGAGGAATGGACTTCGAAGATGGCCAGTTTTGCAGAGATGGCGAAGATTTCAGCATATTTAAAAGATTGTTCACAAGAGACTTATGAATGGGAATGGAAAAGGTGGATAGAATATGTTCAGAACAAATATCAAATTAGAAAGTATCAAATAGCTTTTATTTGAAAACAATGTATTAGAAATATTTTAATATAAAGAGACAAAGAGGGAAAATTATATAGGGGGAGGGATGGGTTCAGGTATATATATCAGTGTTATTAGTTATGAGTACATAATAGGGAAGTCTGGGGGGGGAGGGTTAGGGAGGGTTAGGGAGGACGGGAAGTTTGGGGAGGGAGGTGGGGGGTGAAAAAAGGGGTGAAAATGTAATTGTAAAACTTTTGCAATAAAAAAAAAAAAAAAAAAATCCTAGGCAAACCAAAGAAGAGAAGAAAAATTAACAACGTTAAGAAATGGTAGCATTTTTTTTTTTTTTTTTTTTGACCAAGGTCAATACTTTCAGCGTATTTCCATGTCAACGAAGAAATACCGACACAGATTAATTGACCTCTTTATATCACAATGCTTAATTGAAATATTCACCAGGTGTTTTTTTTTTTTAATGATCGTATGGATTTCATTAAGATAATTACCAGCCTTTTTTGTATGGTGGATATGTAGCTTGTATAAGATAAAATATTTAGGATTTTATTGAATGGCATGGTGGCCTAATGGTGAAGATACTTGCCTCCCACTCGGAAGGTTGAGAGTTCAATCCCAGATAGCGGCAGAGAAAATATCTGCTGTGAACTCCACTTAGGCGTCAGGAAGGGCATCCAGCTAGTAAATGTTCAGCTCCATCCAGTCGTCCTAACTCTACCCCGAATTAAGGGATTACAGCAGAGGTGGGTTTCAGCAGGTTCTGACCAGTTCTGGAGAACTGGTAGTGGAAATCTGAGTAGTTCGGAGAACTGGTAAATACCACCTCTGACTGGCCTCACCCCCATCTTATTCTCTGTCTCCCAAGTCCCAGCTGATCAGGAGGAAATGGGGATTTTGCAGTAACCTTCCCCTGGATTGGGGAGGGAATGGAGATTTTATAGTATCCTTCCCCTGCCACGCCCACCAAGCCATGCCACGCCCACCAAGCCACACCACAGAACCGGTAGCAAAATTTTTTGAAACCCACCACTGGATTACAGAGTCGTAAAAAGGGAGTTATTTATGACTTTATACACACATTATATTTTAGTTGACGCTCTATGCTTATGAAATCTGTGTCTCGTCGGAATACGTCTCAGGATAAGACTGCTGGAGTTGGTGAGCATGTCGGAATCTGGCCATCCGTGCAATTTATGTGCGGAGAATGTCTGTTTGAACAGTTCAAACAGCAACCGCAAATAGACACATAAGGTACGAGCTGCTGAACCAACACTCATTTTTATTTTTTGCTAGGGTTCCTTTGTGGGTTTTTAAAAAGATTTCCTAATTACTGGAAGAATTGATCTGTAAAATGAGGGGGGGGGGGGAAGTGGCAATATTTACACAGTCCTTCCATAAAATTTACATTTAGTTTACAATCTGCTGGTGGAGCTGCTTAGGTCATCCGTGCATAAAAGTGGCTCTCGCTTAGACAAATGATAGGGCTCCCGTGCAAAGAACAAGAGCAGACGTAACTGTAGCGGGATTTGACCCGATCAACTATTCCTTAGCTGATCTCGGAAGATGTGTTTGTAAATACACAAGGGTCTCTGCAGTTGGCTTTCACAGGCAGCAACACAAAGAAAGGGAAAGTATTGCAGGCTGACTCGCTGCCCACAGCCAGGCGTTCGATCCTGACCAGGCTCAAGGTTTGACTCAGCCTTCCATCCTTCCGAGGTCAGTAAAACGAGGACCCAGATGGTTGGGGGCAATAGGCTAACTCTGTAAACTGCTTAGAGAGGGCTGTAAAAGCACCATGAAGCGGTATATAAGTCTAAGTGCTCTTGCTGTTGCTCTATCATCTATCTATCTGTTTGTCTCTCTGTCTGTCTGTCTGTCTCTCTATCATCTATCATCTATATATATCTATATCTATGTATCTATGTATCTATGCATCTATG